ACTACATTTCTTAGACTAAGGCATGATCATGTCAGAGCATCTTAATTGAACATCTATTTATTTATTATTATATTAAAGTACATGATGACATGCCATTGCCTGATGTACCTATCCCTTTTCCTCCACCATGAGAATTTTGGAATGTTCTTCCCTTTCCATTCTCATGCTGCCCCATTAGTGAGACCCTCCCCCCCACACGGGTTTTATTGAAATAACTGAAAACTTGTGGTTGCAGATCATTGCTAAGTTTCCTCTTATAGTATTTATCTTCTAATTCAAGAATAATTTCTTTACATTTAACTCATCTATTTTCAGTGACAGCATCCACATCGTCATCTGTTCTTTTCTTGTGATCTATGTTCTGATTCAACGATCAGAAGCTTTCCATTATTTTCTTCAATTACCCTGGACTCTCTAAAGTCCAGCATGAGTAAATATGTCTTTCTTTTACTCTGACGGGTTACTAGTATCTTTCCTGGGGCTAGGATTCCTGGACTGCAATCTTTTCTCTTAGTAGTCTGTGAATATTCACCCTCTCTCTGCTGGCTTCAAGGGTTGTGGGTAAAGAGTTCCATGCCAATCTGGTTCTCATTTCTTTGTAAGCAACTTAAAAATTATTTAAAATCTTATAATCTGTTCATTTTGATATTGAAATTCAAAAATTCCAGCAGGATATGCCTGGTTCTATGATTGTTTTTATTAACATTACTTGTGACTGGATGAGTCTTTTCAACAGCCTTAAGTGTTGTTGTTCTTTTATTTCGGGGATATTTTTCTCTTTGTAATTTAATTAATCATATTCTTTTTTTCTTTCTTTCCCCCTTCTTTCTGGAAATGCCTATTGTCCTCATGTAAGGTCTGGAGTTCCTTATTTTTTCATCATTAGTGAACAAAATGGATTTCATAACTTGCCACTGCCGTTAACAACTCCCTTAGATGAAATGGAATATTATAGTTTTTAAATTATTCCTATGTCTTGATAGAAACCAGAATGTAGGTGTGTAGGGAGGACTTAAATTCACATCTTAGCCTTGCTCACTGTGAGATCTAGAGACATGTTTGACTTAAAAAAAAATGGCCTCACTATTCACAGTTGTAAACTAAACAAAACCCACAACTCGTGCAACTGACATACCCAGGGATATAAAATTTATATGTAAAAAGATTTATTGGGCATTGCAAATTAAAAAATAACTTTAAAAAAAGCATTCGTAACCTTCGATACTCAAAGAAAAGGCTACATTTATTCCATAAAGAGCATTTCTGTTACTGCAATTCTAATAAATAGAGTCTATCAAATGGCACTTTTTGGTCATTCTAAGTAAAATAAGAATTTTAGCATTCGAAACTTTCTTGTAAAAGTTCAAAATTATATTTTGGAAAGTGGAACTTAAGTATAGAGAGAATATGTAACACAAATGAAAGCTGTTAGTCACAAACAATTTTTTTCAACTGGTTTGGCCTGTAAGGTTTATTAAAACAGATGAAGAATTGTAAATTTAAGAGAGTCAGAAAGTAGGAATATGAACCTCCTCTGAGTCATGCATAACATAGGGATGCCTATATCTACTTTGCACGAGGAAAAGCCAAGAAGAAACAGGTTGTCCTTAAGAAAGAAGGCAGACTCAAGAGTTTTGATTTAGTCAACCACTAGTTCTGATAGAATCTTATGTCTCAGCCATGTTGACATAGACATGGCACTTTCAACACGCAATCAAAGATTATTTAACTTTTTTGAATTTGAGAAATCACACTTTTAACAGACAATATTTATATTCTCCCAGGGCTCTGCACCAAAATATCCATTC